AACCCCTTCCCATGGAAGTCTCAAAAAGGGCAAGCAGTGGTTGACTGTCAAAATACATAGGTGCAATTTACATGTGCGCAACTATCCAAAACCGATTTTTTGTTGTGTAATCTTTTCACTAACGTAAGAAGAAAATACCACAGCCAGCTGGAAGAAGGTCTAAGAATACATGTAGCAAGATGTTCATTCATAGCTATTTTGTGCTATTTGTGTTGGTGACGGCATTCATCCTATCCAGCATTCCTCCCCAGCCACTTTTGGAGCCGGTGACACATGTCACTAACAGCAGCAGCATAACTCTGGCTTAGTGGCAACAATTTGTGTGTGGAAACAAGCGCCTAGATGTGGAACCAAACACAAGTCAAGGTTCAGTATAACCAATCACATTCTACAAGGGGATGCAGGAATGGATGTAGAACAACCTGGATGAATTCACACAACAGGGACCTATAGTGGGTTGTTGTGTTACGTTGAACCCTGGCTGATTCGTGCAAAGTAACAAGCCACCTCAAAGAACCCGGGGTTTTTTGTAGGGATTGTTGTCATGTTGTTCGAACCCAGGTGACTGGTTACAGGGAATCAGCTAGTACACCCCATGGCAAAAGCACCCCCCCCCCTTGCGACGGGACTCCTGGGGAACACTTGGCCTTCGGAGACAGCTAGTGGGGGCACACCACTTCCTCCCATTGCCACAAGCAGTTTTGGGTTTCCCATGGCTTTTACCCCCATTTTTTGTTTGAGATTAGGAAATCTGGCTGTCAGACCAGCTTCTGCAATCCTCCTTGGGCTGATTACAAGCAGTCCCTTCAAATAGTGGCACATTATAGGGGCTGTCTGAGATCACCCACCTTTTGAGAAATAATGTGCTAAGAATTTGGGCAAAGCATTAAAACAACTTAGCTAGAGCTGCACAAAAATGAAACTCTGATACCAACTGTGGTCATTGCCCAGAAGAGTCTACAAATATCTCTTCCCCACAATATTTTTTTTTTCCTTGTCAGCTCACGGAAGTTTTTTTTAAAAGCAAAGTTCCAAAAACGATTTGGCTGCAAAAATGGGTATGGGGGTGGGGTGGGGGTTGAAGCAAGAGCCTCATCTTCCACTCTTTTGGTTCTTGTCAGGTTGCACCCCTATGAAAACTCTGGGACCCTTTGCTAGTATTCTTTGGGTGGAAAATGGATGGGTTTTATACTGAGAGATATATTCAAAACCTGAATTTTTGCATTTTTCTTAGCACCTAGACACTCAGATCAAAACTCAAGATGTGTACTCCCTTGGAAAATAAAAGGGGGAGGGAAGATGAAGATCTACCTGTGAACTGGGTACAACCCCCCCCCCCAAATGTAGCCAAAGATACCTCGTGCCTTTCATTTTTCTTTGCTCACCCCCTGTCAACTGTCTAGGTAAAGAAAAATGGGGGGAAATGTATCTGGAGTCTCTTCCAGGTGCCAACGCAGCCCAATGCCCCAAGCAAGACTTGAACAACAGTGAAAGTTTACAACTGCACAAGTGCAGCAGCTAAATACATAAAACTGGGCAATTTTTAAAGAAGGCTGGGCAAACCTGGGCAGCCCCCAAGCATGTACCTGAGAAACTCTGAAGGGACTGCTTATAGCTATTCAGAGACTCTCCTTGCACCTCAGCGAAATGGTTTAAAGAGAAGATAAAGCAACAGCAAGCTCAAAATGGCTCATAGCCGTGCGAGGAAGGAGCAAATTACTCATTCTCCCCATAGTGTCTGATGGGATGCCTGTGGGGGCACCAAGGGGAGAAGAGGGGACCCAACCAGCTTTCTCTTCGGCTGCCCTCATCAGAACACCATGGCTTATTGCCCGTGATGGGTTGTCATGGTTTGTGAACGCAGCCCATGTGTCACATCCACATCTTAGCTCAGTTATGAAGCCAGTTCACGCCATGGAACATTTTGGGACAGAAATGAGGGGGACACCTCTGTTTGCATATATAATGAAACACTTTGAAATTCAACATGGTCCTTGTTCCCAAATCACCACACTAACCATTCTGTTAAAGAAAGGCTTTGATTTTCCCACACAGCCCACTCCTTAGTTAAATACAGGAGCAGTAGATTCACTTCACTAAATGATATGACACTTAATATGCTGGTCTTTAAAGAAAGTATTTAATTTATGAAGTTAAGGATTCAGAAGACAGAGCAGAACTTTCTCCATTTTCCTGTTCTCCAGTAGCTCTACTGCTGCATTTAATGGTTTGGGAGGCCTCTCGCCTCTTACACATTAAGGTCCCCACCAACAGTTATGGACTGCAATGAAATGTCAAGAGATCATGATAGCTGGGGTGGATGTGAACTAGACAATTAATTACAACCGTTTTTACCGTACCAAAACAGAATACAATGGTATTAAATAGGAACATTATGCATAGAGTCGTCTTCTCCCATTTTTAATTCACTTTTTTCCTCAACATAGTGTTTTAATCTTCTTTAAACAGTGGCTAACTCAAAGCGGCTAACTCAAAGTAAATGAAGCATTCCTAATAATATAAATATGAAAAATAGCAATCGCTTGGGGACTACAGCTGAATATATTAAAACTCCTGTTCATGTTCATTATTAACACATTTTCATTTATTTTTATGTGCATCCCCCATTTGCATTCTTAAATCAGACCACAAATTCATGAATACACACACACAGAGGGAGAATCCAACCCTACAAAGTCCAAACCCCCGCACCTTTCTAAAGGACCCCCAGTGGCTTGTCCAGTCCAGATGTGAAGCTACCTGAATGCATGGGGTGAACATTTCCGTCACATTCCACTCATCCGTCAAAACAGTGGATTGTTTCTTGAAACACTGAAATTGGCTGCCTGGGATCAGAACGCCATCAATCTTACTCACGCAGGGGGCAGGCTGGCTGCCTCAGAAAGTCTCACAAGAGGACGAGCTCTGCTGTTCCTAAGCAGGTGATGAGGCAGCTGTAAAACCTTCCCCGTCTGTATTGCTGCTCATTGAACGATATGTCATATTTCCCATTTCTCCAATACTTTGTATGCGCCCTGTGTTGTACTCTTCTAGCTTCATAAAGGAGGTGATTTTTCAAGCTTAGGGAAATGCTGCAAAATGCCACAGGGTCTATCCCACTTTTTTTCACTCTCCCATCATGTCACTCATGTCTACAACTGATGGTGCAAAAAAGATGATCACTTTTTCTTTCAACCACCCATTCATTTAGAACCCTGTTTATCAATGTGTGCTACCTCTGGTGTAATGTCACTCATACTTTTCTGTTTTATGTGCATGCTTCTTTGGAAGACTCCCAGAGGAAGACATCCAAACTGGCTGTTCTATTTCCTAACAATTAAAATGACAGTGATGAAGCAGCAGCACATACATGATCAATCACTACTTGAGCTTCCGAACATGGGATACACTGGGCAATCCACTCGGATCTTGTCCTCCACTAGTCTTGAGGGTGGCATAGAAGCACAGCTATGCTATTATGCAACCACCATTCATGGGCTTTATCTAGGGAAAGTTGTCCATGATTAATTTCTCTATGATCCTTTTGGACTATCATTCAATCGACTTCGCAGCCATTTATAAAGTCAGAAGATTCCTAGGCTATTATTTTCTGGCCTAGAAAACAGCTATGAAGAAAGCAACAACAACTTTCCATCATCCATATCTGATCCAATGGAGATGTGTAATTGAATCTTCCATCAACTGGACTCGCAATGATTTTCTACATAAGGCTGCTCCCATTATTCCACCCATCCATTCTCGCTATTTAAATAACTTGCTTTTAGATCGTGCATTACAATTAATCATCAAGACATTCCATGTTTGAAACTCTAAGAGAAGAAAATAGTCCATCTCCTTTTCCTCCAAGAGGCATCTTGGATAGTGGCTTTCCCTACTTTATAAATGCACTGCATCCAAATCGATCCCTTCCTGGAGAGTAAACCCATGAAGCAAGTTACACATGAACAGTCAGCCTTGAAATATTGCATTGCTGATCTCCACTTGAGGAATGACAATGTAATGAAATACCTTAGACTCAATCTTACCTTAATTGATTTCTTTCACCGACACAAAAAAGCCTTTTTTCTGCTTTACCATCAATTGTACACTGTAGCATTGAAAATACTGTTCACCTTATCACACACACAGCCCAATAACCAGAAATAACAATCTTTGACAAATGTAGGCCAAATCTCACCATTGTTTACAACCTTACCCAGTGAAATCATTCTGGAAAGAATAGTTTCACAAGGCTTGAATTAAAAGATCTCAAAGGGGTAGCTTAGGCTACACCCCCAGCCACAAAGCCCCCTTGAATACAATGGAGTTTACTTGTGAGTAGGCATGGCTAGGACTGGAATGACACACTGCTAAAGGTTTTCTTTACCCATTCTTGAAACGATTCTGAACTTTGTGGTCAGGTGCAATGCAAAGCGTTTCCTTGGGGGGTTCTCTCAATACTTCCAAGGATGTCACATTACTGTGTGTATGCTGCTGAAAAGCAGCGATCGTCACCTCCCTTAGATCCCCAAAGTACACATGCCAGATACTTCTGTGTTTGACCAAGTGGTCCTTGATGTGTGTATTTGGAGTGGGAGAGCCTTATACCACAATTGGCAAATGAACAACCAAACCAAAATGGTCTTGAGCTATATAAGCCAACATTCTCTACAGAATGTTTATTCTTATGACTCACGCAAACACAACAATTGAATAAGAAAAAGATTACATTACATTCTAAATGGGTTTCCCATGGTGACCCTCTTTGTAATTTCATAAACTGACAGAAAACACACACACCTTTAAATAGGTAGTCTGTTTTCACACCAGGTGAGTAAATATTAAGTTGATTACAGTGTCATACAGGAAAGCAGGTCACAGAACTGTAGATGTAAAACACATTAGACACTCATGCTCCTAATGTACACATGCATCTCTGTTCTAACCCAGTATGACAAAGCAGCTGCATCAAAAAGTATCCGCCATGTGGCTGGTCCTACCTGGTCTGTGCAGGTGATGCTGCTGAAAAGTGTGGTGAAGGGAGCCCTGACAGAGCAGCATGGCACAGGCACTTATCCACAAATACAGGACCCAGGACATTGCAGAGACCACGGCCATTCTCTAAAGGGGACATCAGACAAGAATTAGCACCCACAGCAAGCAAACCCACATGCCGCTCACACAAATGCTCTTTGCATCTGAGCTGCAGTGCATGGAGCAAGAATGTGTCCTTTTATCTGTTTGTTCCCCTTCTGTTTCCCCAGGCTGCAGTTGTCAAATAGCAAAGAGTGTGTCTACAGGAACGTTTTAAGAAGGCTGCTTCTAAATGAACTTTTAATAATTTAGGGACATAAATGAAACTGTTGGTAAAAGACGTCCAAGGTTAACAGAAGCCAGGATGCACCTGATGAAGTTGGTTCCAGCCTACAGAAGCTCATGCCGCAGTAGATTCCACAGGGAACCCTTCAGACAGAAACTAAGAAATTTCTGTCCTGCAGTTTACACTTTTAAGGAATGAAAAGCAACATTGCACTGAAGTATATACTGAATGCAGAGCTGCATCTCCTTCGGTTTCTGCTTGGATATGCAAGGGCGGCTGGCAACTATCTCAGTGGATGCCCCTCACTTGCAAGGGTGACTTCCATTCTACAGCAGAACAACAGCATGGAGCAGGGTGAGGGCATCTCAGGCCATTTCCTTCTTACCGGCTCTGAATGGCCGGGAAAATCCTTCGCTTTTGGCAGTTGCACCTTAGGACAGTAAGGTGCCTGTTGACATACACAAAGAGACGTGACTCAATAGGTAGTCTCAGAACTTCACACAACACCTGCTTAATAGCAGCTTGGAAATCACTGCCAAGACATGCTTCGATCACACTTCCTTTTCACAATCCAGCCAGTCCAATGCCTCTCCAGTTGGGACCGATGTGTTTTTAATTTCTAAACCTATTCATTTTAATTGCAATGTTGTCTGTTAAGCAAAGTAATTATTCCTCAGAATCATGTTCTTCTAATTCCTGGATGTTTGTTTGTTTATTTATTTATTTTAGAGATCAGCTGTTTTTTCTTTGATCCAAGCTTGTAAGACTGGATTGAATTTCATAGGTAAAAGAAAAAGCTGTTTTCAGAAATCAGATTAATTTAAAAAGTGGGAAAGATTCGATAGAAAAGCAAGAGATCTTTCTTTGCCAGAACTGACATGAGTCATCACTTGATACCTTTCTAGATTTCTGCACTTACATCTATTATTGTTCAAACTGGACTGAGTGTGTGTGTGTGTGTGTGTGTGTGTGTGTAAGAGAGAGAGAGAGAGAGAGAGAGAGAGAATGCACCCATAAACTTTATAAGTTTAACAGTTTCTCCTCAAAATCTTCGAGGATTGCCAGATTTTTTAATGCCTGGCAATGCTGCATACGGTCCAGTTCTCTTAACAACACCTTCTGCTGCATTTCACATAGCCAGATTAATCAAACTTCAGGCGCACTCCTTCAACAGCCAATGACAAGATGGCATTTTCTATCTAATAATCCAATCAGCTGAACATCAGTTTTTTCCTCTCAGAGAAAGACTTCTTAGCTCAAATCAACCTCCTCTCTCTCTCTCTCTCTCTCTCTCTCTCTCTCTCTCTCTCTCCCTCCCTCCCTCCCTCCCTCCCTCCTGCTCTGTGTGTGTGTCCTTGCCTCTCTCATTTTGTAGCTGCTGGGCTTCAGCTACAGCCAGAGTCAGAAGTGACCCAGGGCCGGGCTTGCTAAAGGTGGAATAACCACCTTCCAATCAGGGGCAGTGTGTCAGTCAGGCTAGGAGAAGATTGTCGCTGGCTGTTTTGCTTTCTTCTTCTTCTAATTCCAGGCATATCAGGGGTTCTCCAGAGGTGGAACCACTCCCGAATGGACCAGAGATAAGTTTGTAATTCATAGAAGAGGCAATTTTCTGAAAACAGCCGAACATAATTTCTATCAGCAGGATGCTACTTAATTCCCGTCTATGTCTATCTGACGTACTTACCCAGTATATAAATAGTTCTTCGCAGGGCTGTTTACTTTTGCCTGTGGTTTGCCTCTCTCTCCCGCAGCACTCACACACCGCACACCCTTTTGTGTCCAGGCAATCTTCCCTGCCCCTGCCCAGCTCTTTCCTCCCAGTGATGTTCTTCCAGGAGTATTTAGCAGCCGGTGTGCGTGTGTTTGTGGATCCCACACACTCTAATATTTCTGGTTTTGTGATGCAATCAGCCAAGAAATCACCTGGGATAAGTGGCTCTGAACTGACCTCATATTTCAAGGAGAGAAGTGTGTCGCTTGAACCTGAACTTTTCCCATACTCAGCTAAGCGGTGAGGAAAAGGCAAGGTCTAGGCGTGTGTTTGGCGCGGGAGGGCGGTTAAAACCAAGCAAGAATTTTAAAATCAAAACTTCCAGAGCTTCTGGTGTGCTGATTCCGCCTTCATTATCTTTTCTTCCCAGCAGCATTATCCTTACCCATGTCGAAGACATGCGTTGAAATCCCCCCTCTCCTATACTGCCAGCCTCTCAACAGCCATCTCCAAACAATATTATTTTAAGCAACTTTTGCCCAAACCCAGCATCCCTGGCTAACCCCTTTCGTGGGTTTGTTCGCCTGCGCTCTGCCGCTGCTCCCAGCCCAGCCATCCTTCTCCGGCACCCGGAGACCATCCGATCAGACCTTAATTAAACCCCTTTTCAACGGAGAGCGAGTCCCTTCCGTTAGGACCGGCGGAGGCTTTCTGCATCTCAAGTCCGCGGAGAAGCTTCTTACCTGAGTCTTCCAACCCCAAGCAGAGCGCTCTATTAGCGTTCATTGGAAAGACTTAGCACTTTTTAAAATCCATCTGCACCCCAAGGGGGGAATTACAATAAATTGGGGGAAGAAGCAGCGTCACCCTCGGTCTTCTCGGTCGGGAATCCTTTTATTCAGGAGGAAGAAAACAAAAGTGGATGGTGGCTTGGTTTGTTTTGCTTTGCTTCGCTTGGGTTTGGGGGTCTCTCTCGCGCGCGTCGGCGATGCTATTCCAAGAGTAAAGAAGGCATCCGAGCTCTCCCTTCTCAGCCTCGGTCTGGCACAGGCTCGTCAGAAAAGTAGCCGAGGGTGGAAGGGTGGAAAGCCTGTCATTTTCACCTTTAAATCATCTTCGAGCGTCACCTTCTGCTTGATGAGACCTTTGAAGTGATCTTGAGATAATTTGCAGCTTCCAGGGCACTTACAGAAGAGAATCGGGGCTGTTTAATGAGACAGCAGCCTCTCTCTCCCGCCAGGGCACTCAGCGAGGAATAAAAGCAGATGTAGGTAGAAAAGCACAGATCGCCTATACAGTACGGCAAGTGCCGATAGTCTATTTCAATACATCCCAGGCTCGGTAAAGTATCACATGTCTTAAAGGGACACGGCCCTCTTTTGGCAAGCGGCGGCGAATGGCCTCGCCTCACCTGCCGGGTCTCCTCTGACACCGAGGGAGGCTGCTCTGAAGTCCCGGCAGGGCTGAGCGCCGATGCAGCGCGGTCCGTGCGAGGCGGCCGGCTCTCTCCGCCTCCTCGCCGCCGCCACCAAAGGGAAGGGTAGAGGAGACTCGGAAGGCAGCTGGAGAAGGGGCGGCCGAGCCCCCCCAACTGGGGAGGCAACTTCTCCGAAGGGCAGGCGCCCGATGAGTCATCGGAGGAAGCGGGTGGGGGAGTGGGGTGGGCTGGGGTCCATCTCTGAATCCCGATCCTCTGTGGGGGCTACACGGGGATTTGGGGGTGGGGGCGGCACTAGCCTGTGTGAGCAGTGGCCATCTCGGACTACTGCCCTCCACCCTCGCCAAAGGGTGCGATCTTATGCATGTTTAGGCAGGAAAGAGACGTCCCCAGACTTGCTGGGGAATGCTGGGAGTTGTAGGACTTTTTTTCCTGTCTAAGCACGCACAGGATTGCGCTCTGGCAAGCTTATGGTGGCGCAACTCCAATTGTGGACTGGGATCCGCTTTGTCAGAAGCGTGTGCTGAATAACACTTCATACAGCCCATGAAGCGGACTGAGCTCGCCCATGAAGCCGCTGGCTCGTGGGCCAGTCCGGAAGGAGAAGCAGGCTCTTTCGCTTGAGGTTTTGCTGCCCAGTCTCTCAGCTACCACTTCGAGGGGCAGTTACCAAAATACGCGAGTTACTGTGAATCCAAGCGATGTTGATGTGCATGCGCGAATCCTGACCATTGCACATGTCTGTGGAAGTCCTAAATTTCTGAAGGCTTCCAGCTTTAGCATGCTTAATGTTAAGAATCAGAAGGCATCGCACAGACTTTGCATCATTCTGGGCTTAGCAGATTCTCTGCTATAATGAAGAAGACAGAAAAATCAGTGAGCAAATGTGGGAGGGTTAGAGACTGGAGGACCCCCCCTAGAGTTCTGTGGGTGAGGCAGAGAGGGCACTGGAGGTGCTGCTCGGCTTGCAAAGCTGCCGCATGCCAGTCTTCAGGAGAGTCACGCGTGCTAATTGATATCCAGTGATGACTGTTGGCAAGGGGCCAGTTCTGTCCATTTTGCTTGTGCGACAGAGACTCACTGAACTGAGGGGTAGTCCATAACCAAGACTTTGAAGGCTCAATGGGGCAGCTCAGTGGAACTCACACAAGGGAACTCCTCCTGTTTTCTGCTTGTTTCTAGGCTGGCCCCTGGAAGTGAGACATCTCCCCTGCACAAGCGATGGGCTGCCTTTGTGCGATGAAACTAGTGGGGCGGCCACTGCTGGAATGAAGGTGTCAGTGGGCTTGGCTTGCAGATGGTTACCGTTGGAGATTGCTCTATTCATCCCACTTCTGACATTTTACTATGATTTATTTAAATTTTGCAGAAGGTAAAGGCAGCCCATTTATTTCTCCTACAAATTACACCAAGTAAAATAAATGCTTTAATTAATTGCCCCCCCCTTAATCATCCTGAATCAGTAGTTCCTTTTCAATTAATTGGTGATCCATTGTAAAAATCCACAAAACCTGCAGCTGGCAAGATTTTTCAGGACTCCTTTCAATCTATCCCCTGTCCCCAGTCAACTAATGCAATTAATCTTAGGGAACAAATGCTTCTACTGGTACCAACAAAAGTGTCCCCCCCCCCCCACAAAGCTTAATTACCATGCAGAAGTGAAAGGAAGAGTTACAGCAGGTTGATTCATCCTCCCCAATTGTGGCTCCCCTTGAAAAGTGCCGGAAAGTGGTGGTGGTGGAAAAGCCTTTCACTTGAACCAATGGGCAGTCAAGGCCCTGGGGCTGTTCAGTGGGGAGGGGGCCAGACCCAGGCCTAGCAAAGCCCTTGAATGGTGTTATCAGAGCATCATCTGGAAGTGCCATCCAAGATCAAAGTGCAATAAACATGGGCGCTTCCGGATGAAAGCTTAATAATACCATCGCACGGCCTCTTCCATGGGACTTTATGCAGGGAATGATGCATAACGTCATCATTCATTCATCGGTCTCTTGTGTTTCCCACTGCTTCTGTCCTCTTAACAGGATGAACACACACACACACATTCATTATGAAAGAAAAGATAGAATAGCTGTACAATGGCTTTTGACTGGAAGCCTGGAAAGTTTGTCCACTTTGTGACAGTGACTGAAATATGCCTCATACTGCACTTCTAAAATTTAGTAATAGTTCCATTCACACAAGAATGAAGTCAATCCCATATCTGAAAGCATATTTATCTTGCTATTTTATGGTCCCTCAGATATGCAGATGATACCACTCTAATGGCAGAAAGTGAAGAGGAACTAAAGAGCCTCTTGATGCAAGTGAAAGAGAAAAGCTCAAAATGCCTGAAACTCAGCATTAAGAAAACTAAGATCATGGCATCTGGTCCTCTCACTTCTTGGCAAATAGATGGGGAAGAAATGGAGGTAGTGACAGATTTTATTTTCCTGGGCTCCAAGACCACCGCAGA